AAGCGTCTCTGTAGAGAGGCCCTGAAAGGACATTGCATGAAGCTCCAGGAAAACTCCAGGATACTGGAGATGCCAAGATCATGGGATGGAGTCCAAGGAGACTTTTAGGCATGGCACAGAAGATACCTAGAAGATAACCTATATGCTGATGTCATCAGAGCTAAAGGGGTGAGGTTGCACAAGCTTACTGGAACCCAAATGGTTACAAATATGTGTGTCAGTTGCCATGCATCGAGTAACAGGATTCAGTGCTTTCCCTGCTGGGCTTTCGAGTGGTTTGTTGTTGTTGCTGCTGCTGCTGCTGTTTGAGTGTGACTGCTTTTTGTGCCCACTTTTTCCAGTTTTTACTTTTTCCAGTGTTTACTCTGTGCCATTATTCCTGAAAGTACGTGACTCGTTCTTTATTTTAGAGGAGCTTGTGGCATACATTTAGGAGATTTATATTTTGGAAAGATTAATTGATATGGAAAAAGCTATTTTATTTGTGGTTATGAACAGTCTCTGGGCATTATACACAGTAGAGAGCTAATTACATGGATGTACTTGGTGCCCTTTTCTTCTGACTGGGAATATGGTGTAACAAGCTGCTTCTAACTCACCCTGTCTTATTTTCTTCCCATGAAGGACTATACCTTGAAGTATGAGTTAAAGTATCTTTTTTCTCCCTTCAGTGGCTTTTGTCAAAGTACTTTACCACAGCAATTAGAAAAGAAACTAAATGGGAAGCCAGTGCTTTTCCCCAATGCATTAGAATCTCTGGACATGCTTAAAAATTACAGGTCACTGGATTTACAGCAGAGTGGCAGAGAAAGCAGTCTGTTTCAAAGACCTCAGACGATAAGACTGTGGATACAACCAACTATTCCCAGCCTACAGGAAGCAGTTAAATATTCTCGTGCTCAGCGTTACCAGCTCCTCTTCAATGTGCTTTCCTTTGCTTCTGAAACACACTAGCATTCTCAGAAAATCTACTCCAAAAAAGTTCTTCTGTGTAGTTTTTATTTGTTATCATACTGAGAAACCCCCAAGTCAGTAGAAAATAGAGTCTGGAAGTGAACAAGCTCAGAAGCCAAAGCTTAACCATACAGTGAATTTATTGGACTTCAGTAGCTTCAGATATAAAATCAGATCTTGGATTTTTGAGCCACATCATGGAGTTTCCAGTTTTCCCCAATCATCAACTGTCTCCCCATGTTCTCTGACTCATTTTTGTGTCCCACCTAGTCCTTCTAGTTCTCTGAATTCTCAAGTCATCATCCAAGGCCCACTTCAATTGCTATAAGCCCAGGGTTACAAATCTACAATCTTAATAATTCCCTGTTTAGGTGGTTTTGAAAGGAACAAAAATTGGAGGTCAAGTAATTCAAAGGTGGCTTTGGGTGAGCAGTAACTGTGAAGAAAACAGTGGGATCAGTCAGTGACTAGGAAGTACTGAGGGAAAGAGAAGAAAAGCAGGCTCACACTAGCCTTAACTCTGTTTCTTTGATGACCCTCCGACCTCAAAAGAACTTAACAAAGGCTATCTTAGAATTAGGAACTTCTCTGTCTATATACTCAAATAAATAAAAAATGGTCCAGAAAAAAAAAAAAAAAGAAAAAATCCTGTCAAGATGCCATGGCATGGAATATATATGGCATCTGTTTAAGTCTATGAATTTTAAGAAAGAAATCAAGGAAGAGACTGACATATCCCCCAGATATGAAACAGGAACACATAATTTAAATATTCTTCAAATTATTCCACTTTCATAAACAAAATTACTACATAGGACTCTGGAAATAAATTTTCCAAGTTGAAAAATATCTTCCCCTGAAATATTACTTTCACATTTCAGCTTTTTAAATTTTTCTTCATTTCAAGCTGAATTTGAAATAATGGGCCTAAAAACTATATTGACATATTGTAAGCCTAACCCCCAAATAAGCTCTTCTTTAGAAGAGTGGAGAGAAATATCATGAAGTGTAAGTTTACCTGTAGACATCATACCTGCAAGAGGTACCAGACAAAAGGAACTGGAGATCATTTCAATAATTAACAAAGATCAGAGAAGTCAATATGTCTAGTGGATTTCATTCTTTCATTCATTGATTCTTTTATAAATGGCAATCGTTTAACTTAAAAAAAGGTTTAAGAAACACTTTCTTAGCAGGCCCTGAGTGATGTCATTACCTGACTTCTTCCCAGCACATTATGATTGTTCTCCCCTCTGCCTGCAACTTACGTCCTTGCAGAAAGACTCATGGCTCACCCACTTCCTTCAGGTCTTTCCTTAAACATCATTTTCCTGTCTCTAACCTAAAACCTGTCTCTAAGCCATAAAACCCCACTAGTCGTGTACCCCTCTCTGATTTCTTTCCATCCACAGAAAATAACATGCCTCTGAAAACCCACATATGCCACTAATTCATTACATTCTGTTTCTCCTTCTCCCTCATTAGAATGAGAACTCTGTGAGAGCTGGGGCTTTCATCCCTTCACATGAGGGTGGCTCACTCAGGTATCCAGTATTTGCTGGGCATAACACCAGCAAATGCCATACGGATGGTGTCATGCTAAAGCACACAGGGTATGTTGTCTTGATCTGGAGTCCAGTATAAAAAAGCAGTTAATCCCATTAAGACAGCTGCATGGAGAGTGATAATTACAATAAGAATTTGTGGGACTTCATTGTGTAGAATGGGGACACCAACACAGTGTCTCTATGGAAATGACAACTATAATCTCTTTTAACTGCTCTAAACATATTCTCTCCTAAACATAACATAAACCACTTGGGAGGGATCTTATTTCCCCAATTTCACAGGTGAGGAAACTGAGGACTTCAGTTGCTAAGGAACTTACCCCAAATAGTGAGTACTAGACCTAGGATTTGAACTCACACAACTTGTCTGCCATGTTTACCTCCTTGGCTCAGAAGAATTAAATCTGCACATAGAAAATAACATCCTAAGCAAAAAAGAACAAATGCAAAGTGATGGAGGCAGAAGAGAACATGACACAGTTGAAATCTTAAGGGCCAACAGAGCTAAAGCATGCAGATGTAAGGAAGAGACAAGCATGAAGACAAGGTGCTGGCCAGAAAAAGGGCCTTATCAGGAAAGAAGAGTGATCCTATGGGATAGGCTAAGGGTTTTATTGTCCAAATTTTTAAAAATTTTTATTAATTACAGTTTATTCACTTTATATCCCACCTGTAGCTCCCTTCCTCTTCCCTTCCCATTCCCACCCTCCCTCCCTCTTCTCTACCCATGCCCTCCCCCAGTCCACTGATAGGGGAGGTGTTCCTACCCTTCCTTCTAATCCTAGTCTATGAGGTCTCATCAGGAGTGGCTGCATTGTCTTCCTCTGTGACGTGGTAAGGCTGCAACCCCCTGAGTGGGAGGTGATCAAAGAGCAGGTCAATTGGTTCACGACAGACAGTCCCTGTTCCCATTACTAGGCTATCCACTTCCACTTGGACACTGAATTGCCATGGGCTACATCTGTGCAGGGGTTCTATTGTCCAAAATTTAATAAAAAACTAGTGTATATTTTTTTCAAGAAATCATGAAGTTGCAGGCAAATGGATGGAACTAGAAAAGATCATCCTGAGTGAGGTAACCCAGACCCAGAGAAACACACATGGTATGTACTCACTTATAAGTAGATTTTAGCTCTAAAGTACAGGATAGCCATATTATAATTTACTGACCCAAAGAAGATACGTAACAAGGAAGACCCCGGGGAAGATGCTTGAATCTCATTCAGAAGAGGCAGAAGAGGAAACAGAATAGACAGTGGAAGTGTTAAAGAGAGGGAACAAGGTGGGAGAGGGAGTACAGAGAGAAATGAGGGTGGAGACAAGAGCAGGGAGAGTGAGAGGCCAGGGGTAAGGGAGTAGGACAGGGGCCTCCAGAGAAAAGAGAAATCATGGGTGGGGGCATATCTGTGACAAGCTGGGGACCTAAGAGAAGTTAGGCTTCTGGCAGGATATGGGGGTGAGTCTAGCTGAGACTAGCAGTAGGGGTCATGGAAGAGGACATCCTCTAACTAGACAGGACTCCCAGTGGAAGGAGGGGAACAACAACCCACCCACAAAAACTTCGACTCAAAATTTACCCTGCCTACAAGATGTGCAGGATAAAGATAGAGCAGAGATTGAGGGATTGCCTAACCCATGCCAGGCTCGCTCTGAGACTCAGTTCCTGGGAGAGAGTCACTAACACTACTGATGATATTCTGCTGCACTCACAGACAGGAGCCTAGCATAGCTGTCCCATGAGAGGCCCCAACCAGCAGTGGGTCAAAACAGGTGCCGAGACTCATAGCCAAACATTGGGCAAAGTATAGGGAGCCTTGCAGAAAAGTGGGAGGAAGAAGAAAAGGACCTGGTGGTGACAGAAGCTCCAGAAGAAGACCAACCCAAGCCAACTCACCATGGTCCAGAGGAGCTAGTGGAGACTGAAGCACCCAACCGAGGGCCATGCATGGCCCTCAGCCCTCTATAGACAGGTAGCTGAAGGGCAGCTAGAGCTCCGTGTGATTACCCTAATAAAGGAAGTGGGGGCTGTCTCTGGCATGGACTCTAATGCCTGCTTTTGGGAACGAGGATGCACTCAGTCCTGATATGACTTGATAAGCTGGGGTGGGTTGGTGGAGGGCTCCCGAAGAAAAGGGGAGGGAGGGTGGGAGAGACAGTGGGACCAAGAAAAGAAGAGAGGGTTATGATCAATATGTAAAATGAATAAATAAACTAATTAATTAAAAGAAAGAGAGGGAGACAGAGAAAAGAAAAGCTGGTGGCTGTTTTGTCAGACAGCCAAGGGTAATGCTGCTTCTCAGTTTCGGGAAGATGCCTGTGGTCACAGTGTACCCCGTCTCCTGGCTAACATGGAAGTCTGAGGACAAGCTGGGACTAGAGGCAGTGGAGGGACGGGAGAAGCAGCTACATGTATTTGGATGAACTCCTCCCAATACTGTTTCTGTAAATGCTGAACCCTGCTTTAGAGGCTAAACTCACCTTTTCCGACAAGGCCTCCTCCAGTGTGGCCAGCGCGGTGTCTGTGTTGCTGGAATCGGTCTGCAGGGACTTCACTCTGTCTTTCAGATTGGTCAGTTGTTTGTCCTTATCCCTAAGTTGTTCTTGTAAGTTTTCAATCTAAAAATAAAGATTAACATATTTAATTCACATTTTACATGTAATCAAAGCCAAGACTCTTGAAGCCATCTCTTTTTTATATTTTTTTAAGACCTGTTATTATGGACGTCATCAGTATGTGAGATTAAATTTGACTTAGAATCAAGAAAAATTTGAGATCTTAATCTAGTTAACGTAATTTATAAATAGAAGATTCTCCATACAAATGCAAGCCCCCTAGACATTTGAATACTATATTTCTCTATGTTTTTATATATTTATCCATATTTTTAAGGTTCGAGTCAATAGGCATTACCACCATGAAAGAGAAAAATGTTCCCATAGGATTGATTCTCATTCACTGAGCGGACACTGAGTGGGTGCCCAGTCTTTACTAGGCAGCCTATTGGTATATGGCCTGGCCCACACAGCCATTCACTCAGCCCTTTATTCAGCAAGAAACTTTGTGATATAGCAAATGTTGTCAAGTGGCTGTTTCAAAGTGAGCACACGAAAAGCCACGTAGGTTATCGCCAGCAGACTGTTAATGGGAAGAACTTGTGATAGCAGACATATGTAACAAGGACTAAACACTCCATTTGGCAACCAAGTCAGAGGCTGGCAGCCAACCAGCCACTTTTATCCAGTATCTGCATCCCAAAATAAACACAGAAAACAGCCGATTATAAGGTCTGCCTGGCAGCAGCAACAAGTACCTTGTCCTAGGCATTACGTCCATTATCATTCATGTTTTTATTCTATGTTCTCAAAGAATATATGTCTTATCTAAGGTTTTGTTTTTAAGCTCACTAAGCAAACAATTTATTCATGTTAAGGGTTTTTAAATGGCAAGAAAAAAAGCAGTACAACTCTAAGATAAGTCCATTCAAAATATTTTCATTCTACGCGCAGCTTTCTCAGCGGCTCATTCCAAAGCATGCTTCATATTGTGTTACTCAAGCAGCTTCTGTGATTACTTGACTCCTTTCACATGAATCTGGAATGGCCACTTAAATAATGTTGGCAGCAGTCATGAAAATGGAGGGAAGACAAGGATAGTGACAATGGGGGTACCACTACAGCATTATCCAAGAAAATCTAAAGAAGCCAAGGATGGAGACTCGTGCTATGACTCTGAGAGTTAGGAGGCTGAAGCAGGAAGGCTGTCAGACATTGGGGGTATGCCGGGCCATAGAGTGAACTCCAGACCACTGGGTGCCACAGGTGAACACTGTTCCAAAACAAAACAAAATGTAGTTCTTAAGAGAAAGGCAATAATGCAGCTACACCTGAGCTGACAGGACCTGTGCTAGTCTGATGGACATTCCCAATGTTTCCATCCATCTGAGCTAATAAGGCTAATGATATTTTGAACAAGACTGAGTGACAGATTTAGAATAGGGTAAACATTTATACCTAAGAACTTATCACTTTAAGAAATGCTGTATAATAGATGTCCTCTGAAAAACCCTATCCAGCAGGGGATCAAAGCAGATGCTAAGACTCAGAGCCAAACTTTGGGCAGAGCACAGGGAGTCTTATGGAACAGTGTGGGGATAGAAGGACAGGAACTCCATAAGAAGACCAACAGAGCTAACAAATCTGGGCCCAGGGATGCCTGAAGAGACTGATGCACCAACCAAGGACCATGTATGGGGAGGACCTAAGCTCCCTGCTCAGATGTACCTGATAGGCAGCTCACTCTCAGTATGAAACCCCCTAAAAAGAAAAGCAGGGGCTGTCTCTGACATTGACGGCTTCTAGATCACTTTCCCCTGGTAAGGCCACCTTGCCATGCCACAGAGGAAGAGAATGCAGGCAGTACTGATGAGACTTGATAGGCTAGGTTCAGTTGGTAAGAGAGGAGGGCTCCCACTTTCTGAAGAGTAGGGGAGAGGGAGAGGAAAGGGGGAGGAAGAGAGCTATGATCAAAATGTAAAGTGAATAATTTAAAAAAAATAAATTTTTACTTTAGAAAACATAGGAAAGAAAGAAAGAAAGAAAGAAAGAAAGAAAGAAAGAAAGAAAGAA